GTTCTTATAAGAACATAAGAATGTAGGAACACTGCAGAAGGCCTACTGGCCCATACGAGGCAGGTCCTTATCAAAACGACATCTACCTAAAGCTACTCAAGAAATAACTCCCGTACCCCTTGACTCATAAGAACACAAGAACATAAGAATGTAGGAACACTGCAGAAGGCCTACTGGCCCATACGAGGCAGGTCCTTATCAAAACGACATCTACCTAAAGCTACTCAAGAAATAACTCCCGTACCCATTGACACCAATCAAACCCAGCCCCTCCCACTCATATATTTGTCCAGTCTCTTCTTAAAGCTACCCAAGGTCCTAGCCTCTATCACCCCACTGGGAAGACTGTTCCACGCATCTACAACTCTGTTAGAAAACCAGTACTTACCTATGTCCTTCTAAATCTAAATTTATTCAACTTAAATCCATTATTCCTGTTCTTACCTGGTTCGACACCCTCAGTACTTTATTAATGTCTCCCTTGTTTATGCCCGTCATCCACTTATACACTTCAATGATATCTCCCCTCATTCTACGCCTCTCCAGAGAGTGGAGATTTAAGGCTTTAAGTCTATCTTCATACGGGAGGTTCCTTACACAGTAAATCATTTTAGTCATTCTTCTCTGTATGTTCTCTAATGAGTCTATGTCCATCCTGTAGTAAGGGGACCAAAACTGAGCAGCATAATCTAAATGAGGCCTCACTAGTGATGTATAGAGCTGTAAAATAACTTTTGGACTTCTGTTACTTATACTTCTTGAGATAAATCCAAGTAATCTGTTGGCCTTGTTGCGCACACTGAGGCACTGCTGTCTTGAAGATTGAGACACTTATGCAGCATATGGAAATCTTTATTCAGGAAACGTTTCGCCACACAGTGGCTTCATCAGTCCAATACAAAGAGGAAAGCGTAAGGAGAGGAGGAGAATGAGGTAATCAGTCCCTCAACCTGGAGTCGATGTGTTCAGTCCATCAATCTTGTAGAATGTACAGCATAGGGCCGTAGACGTGGCTTATATACTGTAGTGAGGTGACGTGAAGCATAAGAACATAAGAATGTAGGAACACTGCAGAAGGCCTACTGGCCCATACGAGGCAGGTCCTTATCAAGACGACATCTACCTAAAGCTACTCAAGAAACAACTCCCGCACCCCCCAACACCAATCAAACCCAGCCCCTCCCACTCATATATTTGTCCAGTCTCTTCTTAAAGCTACCCAAGGTCCTAGCCTCTATCACCCCACTGGGAAGACTGTTCCACGCATCTACAACTCTGTTAGAAAACCAGTACTTACCTATGTCCTTTCTAAATCTAAATTTATCCAACTTAAATCCATTATTCCTGGTTCTATCCTGGTTCGACACCCTCAGTACTTTATTAATGTCTCCCTTGTTTATGCCCGTCATCCATTTATACACTCTCCAGAGAGTGGAGATTTAAGGCTTTAAGTCTATCTTCATACGGGAGGTTCCTTACACAGTAAATCATTTTAGTCATTCTTCTCTGTATGTTCTCTAATGAGTCTATGTCCATCCTGTAGTAAGGGGACCAAAACTGAGCAGCATAATCTAAATGAGGCCTCACTAGTGATGTATAGAGCTGTAAAATAACTTTTGGACTTCTGTTACTTATACTTCTTGAGATAAATCCAAGTAATCTGTTGGCCTTGTTGCGCACACTGAGGCACTGCTGTCTTGGCTTTAGATTTCTGCTTACCATGACTCCCAAGTCTTTTTCACATTCTGTATGACCAAGCTCTACTTCACCTAGATTAAGCTTCGAGGGTTATTTTCATTACCAAGGGCAAGTACCTTACACTTATCCACATTAAACTTCTTCTGCTATTTCTCAGACCAAGACATTAGTTTGTTCAAATCGTCCTGGAGATCATGATATCCTCCTCAGAGTGAATTATACGCCCTACTTTGTATCATCAGCAAACTACTCATGTCACTAGTAATCCCTTCAATCAAGGTCATTAATGTAAATTATGAACAAGAGAGGGCCCAAAACTGATCCTTGTGGAACGCCACTAGTGACTAATCCCCATTCAGATTTTCACTCCATTAATGGTAACTCTCTGTTTTCCTATTGGTAAGCCATGCCTCAATCCACGCTAGAACTTTACCTCCTATACCATGAGCTGCACTTTTCTCAGATCTCTTTTTGAGGTACTCTGTCGAAGGCTTTACAAAAAATCCAAATAAACAATCAATTCCTTACACTGTCAACTGCCTCAAATGTTCTATTGAAAACGTCAGTAAGTTTTGTCAGCAGGAACGACCTCTCGTGAATCCATGCTGAGATTCATTATCAAGTTATGCTTTTAAAGGGTGACTTCTGATAATGTCAGCTATAATTGTTTCTAATAACTTGCCCACTATAGATGTCAGGCTTATTGGACGGTAATTTAAAGGAGTGGACTTATCCACCTGATTTGAATATAGGAACCACATTAGCCATCTTCCACATCTCTGGCAACAACACTGGTAAGGAAAGGACGCATTGAATACACTCGTTAATGGCTGACTAACTCCATCTTGCATTCCTTAAGTACCCTTGAAAACAACTCATCGGGTCCCGGGACTTATTTTGTTCAGTTTGTCTATCCGCTTAATAACCAGGGTCCCTCGTGACACTAATATTAGTTAACTTGAATTCATCAGGAACTAAATAATTGTTAATTACTGGAATCTCATTTACATCTTCCTGTGTAAAAACTGACAAAAAATATCATTAAATAAGGAACACATTTCCATTTTCATTATCCGTCAGCTGTCCATTCCCAGATTTCAGAGGCCCCTACTTTTTCCTTCACCTTCGTCCTATACCTTGAAAGAACCCCTTTGGGATTAGTCTTTGATTCATTAGAAACTCAAATTTTTCATAGTCACGTTTAGCCTTCCAAATTCGCTTTTTTTTACTTCTCTTTTGAGCCTGAACATATTGGTCAGTAAGGTTAACCTCTCCTCTTCTGATGCGCCTATAAATTCCCCTTTTCTCCCCCTAATAGATGCTTTAGCCTCCTATTAACCCATTTGGGATCGTTATTATTAACCTAATTTCTCTCTGGGGAAATTTGAAATATACTCTGGCACTGTGTACATTATTAAGAAATAATCATAAAAGCAGATCCCTTCATATTCATAAGTATGATTATCGTCAATAAAATCATTAGCTAGATAACCCCAATCAAGATTAGAAAAGATGTTTCCCTAAGTCCATTATAATCGGCAGAACGAAAATCGGGGATTTTTACGTATTATCATTATTCTTGCATTCCCAATTAATGCTAAAGGTGATGGATTTGTGATCACTTGCGCCAAGCTCTTCAGTGATCTCCAGATTATTCACGAGGGGTTTCCTTATTTGACAAGACTAGGTCTAGCAAATTATTACCCCTGGTAGGTTCATTACACTCTGTTTCAGATAACAGTCCTGAACTGTTTTCCATGAAGTCACTGGACTCTAGATTACCTGTCAAAGAATTCCAGTCAATTTGGCTAAAGTTAAAGTCCCCTACTATGACTACGTTACTGTGTACAGAAGCCCAACAATTTCGTCCCAAAGAAGTTCTCCTCTATCGTGATCCAAGCCTGGGGGTCGGTATATTACACCTAGAATTAGTTTTCTTGACCCTCCACGAACTCTACCCAAACAGACTCTGTTACTGCTCCATCAATTTTTATACCTGTTTTTATGCAACAATTAATATTTTCTCGAACATACAATGCAACTCCTCCCCCCTTCCCATTACATCTAATCCACATTGAATAACTTAAATCCCTGAATATTACACTCAACAGTCATATCCCGACTCTTTAAATCATACCAAATTTTCAGTTAATGCAATGATATCAAAGTTCCCAGCACACGCTACCAAACGTATTTTATTAATTTTATTTCTTGCACTTCGACTGTTAGCATAAAAAACCATCATATGTTTTTTCTTCTGCACATTTTTCCTATTCATCTTTGTTTTTACACAATTTCTGAAATTATCATTACCCAGAGTTACTCCATGACAGTTACTATTAAGATTCTTAATATCAGAGCATAAGTCAATATATCCATACTCATTATTAATCATTTCTAAACCCATACCTCTAACTAATCCTAGTTTAAAGTCCTAACAACCCCCTCAACTGAGTTAGCAAGAAAACCCACACCTGCCCTGGATAAGTGGAAGATGGGTATTAAGAAAGGGGATATAAACAAGGTTTTGAGGATATTCCTCCATGAGAGAACCTGCAATAATGGATTCTAATCAGATAAGTTTAGATTTAGAAATATTATAAGAAAATATTGGTTTGGAAATAGGGTAGTTGATTAGTGGAATGGTCTTCCTAGAAGGGTTATTGAAGCTAAAACCTTGGGTAGTTTCAAATTTATGTTGGATAAATACATTAGAGAGAGGGGTTGGATTTGAGTGGGACTTTCACATGAGTAAATAGGATAATCAAAGCTTATTGCTTGGGTAGCATTTATTCAGTTAATGGGTTGGATTAGTGAAGGACCTGCCTAGTATGGGCCAACAGGCCTACTGTAGCGTTCCTCCTTTCTTATGTTCTTATCTCAGAAGTGCTTTAAAGATCAAACTATAGCTAATGCTTCTTTCTCAGTTACTGTATAGTTACATTCATCGTTGGCGAGAACATGAATATCAAATGCAACTGGGTTACATTTGCAATCAGTCTTTTGAGCTAGGACGGCACCTATGCCGATGGAAATAATGTCTTTTGTCAGATAGAAAGGCTTTGAAAAATCTGGGAATGTTAAAAGAGGAACAGAAGTTAGTTTGTCTTTCAGTGTCTAAAATGCTCTTGATGGAAGGTCCAAATGAAAGGAGCATCCTTCTTTGCAACTCAGAGGAGCTGGAGTTGATTTATAAATTGCAATTAAAACTCTATGTTTGAACATTATGTACTGAAGTTGTTTTACCTTTCTAGGAGTGACTACATGACCAAGAAACATTATCTCTGATCTAAAAAACTGACATTTGGTAAAGTTTTATCTTTAAGTTAGCATCTTCAAGTTCACTGAGTACCAAATCCAATCTTTCACGATGTGTCTCCATGTCTTCAGACATGACCATTATGTAGGTAGACACTGTGTTTATATGTAGAGGAACTTTCGTCATTATGTGCCTCGAGTATGTGATAGGTGAGGATCTTAAAACAAAGGCCATCCTGAGGAAGTGATAATGACCTGCTGGAGTGGAAAAGGCTGTTAGCTTTTGGCCTACTCCGAAGAAGGACTTGTCAAAACCCCTGTAACTGCACAGTAAGTCACCAAGCTCAGAAAGTGGGAAACAATATGGTATTGTATTAGCATTCAACAACCTAAAGTCATTCACCAGATGCCAAGTACCATCTTTCTTATGTACTAGAATCCTTGGCTCATTCCAAGGTTTGTGAAATTTGTGAGATGACACCATCATCAAGCATCTTGTTGGCTAATGCTTCTGCTACAGCTAATTGCAAATAAAACAATAAGCAGATACATAAATAAGTCTAGTACTAAGTTCAAATGGAATACAATGGGAAAGTAAATTTGTTAAACCCACCTTCTCACCTGGCAATGCAAAGGCACTTCTTCGTTTGTTCAAACTGTGCACAAACTCTGGAGACTGTGAAAGCTAGAGTTTATTCCTCTACTGTTGGGTGGGGGGTGCCGGACTCTTCTCCAGGCATAAGAGACCTGACCGGTTGGTCTGGTGGCAACTTGTCCCCTACCTGAACAAGATACTGAGAGTGGTGTTCCATCTGATGCGGACACTCTGATCAGTGATATCTTAATCATCAACTTTTTGTGTCTTAATCATCAACTTGTGGTGTTTTAATCATCAACTTGTGGAGTCTTAATCATCAACTTGTGGTGTTTTAATCATCAACTTGTGGAGTCTTAATCATCAACTTGTCTGTATTTTATACCAGTATCATCATATGCTGTCAGACACTGCAACACAATGGTACCTTGGTACAAAGGACTCTTTTCCATATTTCATCGCATATTTACTAGTTGCGAGTGAGAAGGGCTGGATTCCGTAGGGACCTGCCTTCTTACTTCTACTAGTGAATCCTGTCATCTGAAACATTTTCGACAGAAGATTCCATTCTCATGCTTCAGCTTCATATCATTGCAATTCCAAGTGAAATTATTTCACTGCATATCCATGCCAGGTCAAATCACATATGCAGGACCATTTTTCTCTGACCAAGTGGGGCCTTGTAAGGCCATATCAAAGCAGGTCTACTAAAAGTATGAGATGTAAAACACAAAGTGTCTGAATCTGACAAAAATTCCTGGGTTTTCCACCCCACTATGACGAAGGAGAAAGATAAATGATCAGACGACGGAAGTAAAGGAAGGGGAACACAGGAAAACAAAGATATCGAGAGTGGAAAAAGGCGTGAGTTAGTACAAGGAATATAAGGAGGAAACAAGGGATGTAAACAAAGAATGGCATGAGCAGGAAAGGAAAATGGAAATCGGAAGAGAGAGTTCCCGTAGCAAAATAAATAGAAGCACTACTGATGGAAGCTGTGAAAATTATATTTCTATGGCAGCATTCTATATATTTATTTAATAGTTTAAATTATGTAAATACCTTAATAGTTTAAATTATGTAAATAACTTAATAGTTTCAATTATGTAAATAAAACTTTTAGTAATATCATTCTCCTGTTCACTACAGAGGTTCGCATTTAGCGTTTTCGTCTGATTGTTTAGTAGACAAGTTTTCGACTGAGTTTGTATACTGGGAGGCAGTTGAACAGTCTTTGGCCCCTGACACTTACTGTGTTTTTTCTCAGTTTACGCGTGGCACCCCTGCTTTTCATTGGGGAAATGTTGCATCTCCTGCTAAGTCTTTTGCATTCATAGGGAGTGAGTTTTCGTGTACAAGTTTGTCACTAATCCCTCTACGATTAGTACCAAATTAGTAGAATGGTTAGCAGCATCATTAGTACCTAATGATACTACTAACCACGTTGAGAGAGCAAATACATTTTGCAATTTAGAGAAAATGTCCGATATCTCACAAATAAGATTAGCCTTCGTATGGGAATGGTTTATGGTGCCTTTTTAAAATCTACTCTGCCTAATTACCCTTTAACATTCAATGAAGCTTTCACGGAATTGAAAAACGACAAAACAATTGAAATGTTTCAAAAGCTGGTAAATCTGATTTAAGTGTCATTATGAACAAAAACGACTATAATGGTAAAATGGAAGGTTTATTAAGTGACTCTGATACTTATATTTTGTTGAAAAGAACACTCTTGAGTAGGTTTATCGTTCTTTCAACTGTAAATTGAAAGAGATTCTTAAAGGAAATGATAATATAATCAAATAGTTTTATTCCAGAAATTCATGCTTTCCTTATTTACATAAGCTGATTAAAATACATAAAGTTGACAATCTCATTCTTAAACTTATAGTTTTTAATATGTCTAATGAATTCAAACTCATTAATTTTGATGTTACTTCGTTGTT